GAGTTGGATTTTGCGGTGTCCCCTCCAAGTGGATTGTTCTACCCAGCCTTTGAGTCTCCCATGTACCTAGTTTGGTAACAAGATTACAGCAGGTGTGCCAACAGCAGATTGCACACCTAAAGAGAATCTACTAGGGTCTTTCTGTACATTATAAGAACACTCTTATATAATTTAAAAGAATTTCCAAAATGCATTGATTCGGCATTCATCCTGATATACCCTTCTGCTGAACAAGATATTCATTATACTGCTCTCTATGTTACATATCCTTTTTTGGTAGATTTGAGGTCCTGTCATAGTACATGGTACGCAACCCAGTTTGAGGCTCAAGAGTCATATATCTGAAGAAAGAGCCCTGTTCAGAGCAAGCTCCCTTTTAAACATTGTCCTAGGCATGTATTAACAACTACATAGATGACGATGGAATCTGTTATATTCTTGTTTTACTGATTTTTTTCTTTCCCTTAACAATAACTTGGGATTCCCCATTCTTTCATTTAATTTTACCACCAAACCCTTTTTGCCTTCATGTTCCCTGGTTTCTACACTCTGCTCTTACTTGGGATTTGTCAGCTGTAGCCACTGATGTCAGTCTAGCAGGTGTTTTCCTCACTGGAACGCTTCATTGTGCACACACCACAAGGCAGTCCCTCACTACCAATCTTTTTCAGAGGTAAGCAGAAAGTATCGCTCTTTGACCTATGCACAGAGATCCTATCCCTCAAAGGAAATGATCTTAAATTACTAAAATTCAAGCACTGTCTTTAAAGTCTTCAGTGTGTCTACTGAAGGTTAAGTGAGCACCATAGATATATACCAATGGTGAGCATCATGGATACATACCAAACCAGAATGGTTCAAGATGGTCACCAAAAATAGTCTTCAGGAATAGAAACATGGTACCTCACAGAACATGATACTTTTACTGTCAGGACCTTTGTGGATCTGAAGTGAGTACTCCAGAGGCAACCACAGGAAGATTCTTGGGTTCAAGGAAGCTCAGGAATTTGCATGACAACCAAGTGGGGCAGGCAAATGGTTCCTCAAAGGAGGTGAAAGCAAGTCCCTGGATGTTAATATGTAACATCCACACTGAGCTTCACTATGAGCTTTTAAAGCTTACTCAGGCATTTGTCTTCCATATTCTCAAATAGGTGCCAAGCTACACAAGCATACAATTTTCTCAGTTTACAACACAATCGCACATACTCTTTTGGACATACTCTTCTTTTTTTCATACGTTTACTGTTTCCTCATTTTGACTGTCACTTTCATGAAAGCAAGTTTTACAGCTTCTATTTTAAGGTTTGGTTATTAAACATTTATTGTCCTGCCTTACAGTAATCATTTAATAAGGGTTAGTAATGATTAATATTTTAATGCTTTAAAAATGCTAAGAATTTTCTCTAAACATATAAATTTGTTTTAAGAGTGATTTTGGCACACAGGGAAAAATCTGCTTTTGAAAATTATGTTCACTATCGAACACATAATTTAGTTTTCCAGATGCCGCATAATGTTATTTGGTCAATTACACTGGCTTTGATACATGAATACATGATGGCTGAAGTGGGCAGAGAAGAGATGGGGGTTAAAAGGAATATCTTCAAATGTTTCCACCTGAGTCAGTTTGAAACATTCAAATCTTGGTTTTTTTGTTTTGTTTTGAGGTTGGTTTTGTTATTGTTTTCTTTATGATTCTAGGTTACAACTGAGACACTTCGCTTTATGTAACAATTCTATAAATGAAATGTTTTTATCTCCTTCTTATTCAACAAGCACTGACTGAGCCTAAGGTACTAAGCCCACAAAGATGACGCCTACCTAACCCTTGCCTCAAGAAACTCACAAACTAATGATGTAATCAATACCGTCAATTATCCTTTTTATTTATTTTTCCAGCCTGTTCAGGTTGCTATGGCAAAATCACCAAGTGGCTTATTATAAGGAATAGAAATTTGTTTCCCAAAGGTCTTGGGGCTGAACACTACCAGACAAGAAAGCAGCATACTTCATATTGGCTGATTTCCAAATTCATAGATCTCACATGATGGAAGAGGTTAGTCAGCTCTCTGCTTTTTTTTTCAGCATCTTTTTTTTATTAATTATTTTTGTTTTTATTAATTACAGTTTATTCGCTTTGTAGCCCCCTGTAGCTCCCTCCCTCCCCCTCCCAATCTTACCCTCCCTCCCTCTTCCCCAACTGTGCCCCTTCCCCAGTTCAATGATAAGGAAGGTCCTCTTCCCCTTCACTCTGATCCTAGTTTATCAGGACTCATCAGGAGTGGCTGCATTGTCTTCCTCTGTGGCCTGGTAAGGCTGCTCTACACTCAGGGAGAGGTGATCAAAGAGCAGGCCAATCAGTTCATGTCAGAGACAGTCCCTGTCCCCATTACTATGAACCCACTTGAACACTGAACTGCCATGGGCTACCTCTGTGCAGGGGTTCCAGGCCATCTCCATGAGTGGTCCTTGGCTGGAGTATCAGAAAAGACCCCTGTGCCCAAACTTTTTGGATCTGTTGCTCTCCTTGTGGAGCTCCTGTCCTCTCCAGATCTTACTATCTCCCACTTCTTCCATGAGATTCCCTGCACTCTGCCCAAAGTTTAGAGAGCACGAATTTCTTCATGAGGGCTCCAGCTTGGGGACCCAGTTGCCTTCTGAACATTTCGCATAGGCGGAGATAAGATTTAAATCTGTGAACTTGCAAGTATAGACTATGGCATTGATTAATTCATTTATGCAAATATCATCATCTAAACACCAATTATATACCTTTTTAAGTATAAAATAAAGCAATGCACAAGATTCATTCCAATGATTGGCAAATCCTCCTTTTGTTGAAAGATAGAAGCAAGATGGTACAAGAGTGCAATGGCCAATCTTAAAAATTGAACATAGTAAAGGGTCATGAGGGAGAGAGAGCAAAAGATGTAATTTTAAAATAATATGGTCAGGATATGTTCCATGGAGAAAGAGATATTTGAAGAAAGAGATATTCAAATCAAAGCAGTTCACCAATAGAAAAAAGATGTTGGTTGATTTTCAACTGTATACACTATTCAGCCAGTGAAATTGGCAATACAGGGGGAAAAATTTTAGGATACACCAATATAGGCTTTGGGGACAGTAGGGACTGTCCCCTACTCCCTACTGTCCCCAGGGAGTAGGTGTGTTCATTGAAATGAGTTCAAAGAAAGGATGTTAGCCGGGCCTGGTGGCACACAATCTTTATCCCAGCACTCAGGAAAAAAAGAAGTAGGAAGACCACTGTGAGTCTGAGTGTATCTTTGTCTACAAAGTGAGTTCAAAATTGTCAAGACTACAAAGAGTAACCCAAAACCCTGCCTCACAAAGAAAGGAAGAAAGAAAGAAGGAAGGAAGGAAGAAAAAAGGAAGGAAGGAAGAAAAAAAGAAAAGAAAAAAGGGGGTGTTAATGTGGGAAGTCCAGTTGCTGCTTAGGTTCAGAAAACCATCCGCACAGCCCTTTGGGAACAGTAAGTCAACAAGGCTACCAGAGGAGCAGTGAAGGCAGCGTGAATTTTCTGTGAAGGTGTTCTAAAGGGAACCTGTGATGCTTGAGTTGTCTGTGTTGTTTAGCAATTACTCTTGAGAGATAAAGGGCAGACAGGTGACGGATGGAAAGATGACGGATGGATAGATGACTGTACACAGATACACACAGACAGATGGATGATAGATACTCCCAAGTAAAAGCGGTAGTTCCCAGGCGGAGACAGCTTCCCCTGAGTAATATTTGAGAATATATGCACTTATTTTTGTTTTATAACTTATGGAGGTGGGAATAACTACTAGGCTTTAGTAGGCAGATATCACAGATGACAGGAAACAATCTCCACAAAGACAATGGCTTTCTCATAACAAAGAATTACCTGAGCACAAAAGTAGCATCAATGAGGGTGAGGACTCTTATGTACATATATAATTTCTGTTGGGAATAAGGCCACTAAATTTTTGAAGGTCTCAAAACAGCAAAACAATAAGTGTTTCACTAGTGGAGTCAATATTACAGGTTTGTGCATCAAATAAGTGCGAAGGTGATGAATCGCACAGCGTGCATAGACACTGTCCCTGTGAGTGGGGCTGCACTCACATGAGAATGCACTCACACACACACAGGGATGACTTTTGCTAGCACACTGGACTTTCACACAGTAACACACATCTGTGTAGCTGCCTGTCCATTCTCTGGCTGCTTCTTTAATGGATGCTTTATTTCTTGCTTATAATTGACTGGTGCTTTCTGGTAATTTGTTTGTTTGTTTGTTTGGTTAGTTGGTTTTTAAAAAGAGAATTAGACATGAGCATAGTACTTCTTTCAGGGCATAGTAACACACAACTTGGAACAAGTCTAAAACTATAGTGCTAATTTTGCATCCATGAGCTGAGCAGAGCAGCTGTTAGGACCAACTTGTCAGGCTATGGGTGACAGAATCTAAAGTGACAAGACTTGGGTCCTGATGAAAACTTTCAAGGCACTGATTTAAATTCTGAAAATGTTTGCCCCAAAGTGATAGCCACATACACTGGTGATATTTTTTAAATTGTCAAATTATTTGGAGTTACTTGTAGGTGAATGTGTTGTTCACACTGTCTGAAAATGTCATGAAATATAATAATTTCTTGTTCAAAATATAGTAAGTAGACATTAAGAAAGAATCCACATGAGGTTGTATGTGTCTGTAACCCAGCATTCAATTTCCTAGAGTTCACACAGCAACATAGGAAGAAACAGCCAAGCACTGTTCAGTGGTCTTGCCAGCAGCAGCTGACACTGTGGACCCTATTTTTGTGGCTTACAATGTTGGACGCAGCCCTCCTCCTCCTAGTACTGAAAAATGTACTGCTAATTATCAGTGCTTAATGTGTTATCCCCTGAAGACGAAGAATTGTTCTTCCTTATGAAGTGTGGCTGTGTTTTTAAGCAATAAGTAACACGAACAGAACAATGGGAGGCCGGGGGTGACTCAAGGACTTACCATTGAGCCATTTGGAGTTGTACTGGGCTGTTCGAAGAGGAGGTAAATTGCCCAGACTCCGGTAAATGGCTGGATCTCGCCCGGGGAAATCCATGGCTGTTGCAGCGTAGAGCTCCCCGCTGGCTGTGAGCAGGGCGGTAGAGTTGTGCTGGGGACTGTAGGGGCAGCGGGCCATGCCACTGATCTGGTCACGGATCTCAGTCAGGTTACTCAACTGTGGGTGAGGATGAGAGGGACACCAGTTATCCCTGAGAAATCCCATTCAATGTGCCTGTATATTCCACCATAACCCACCAGTAGAAAAGTGTGCTCCATGTGTGCTCTGGCTTGTGTGAGATGAAAAGCTTTTCTAACCCTGACTTTGGGAAATCAGTTCCGTGTATTCTATGCCAGAGAATCCATCCTAGTAGTTATACAAATTCATGCTACTGCTACAATATGAAGCAAGATTATTATATATAGGGCTTTGAAGTAGGATGTGTGAATGTTGGCTGTTTGCTACTTTAATGAAGAATCCAACTTTAATATTTATAAATATGTGAATCATAATAAGGAACTATGTTCATGGTATTAGTCTGACAAAAAAAGATAGCCCTAAATACTACTCAGTGGTAAGCATGTGCCAATATTCTGCACTATGTATACACATTTCTTATATCTTTCTTCCTTCTTTTTAAGTCTTGAGAAAGCTGTATGTTTGTCAAGTATCAGCTGGCTTTCCAAATTCTGATTGCCAACTAATAAAGCATGAGAAAAGCTTTTTTTAAATAAATTATTTATTTATTGTAATTTATTCACTTTGTATCCCCACTGCAGTCCCCTCCTTCATCTCCTCCCAGTCCTACCCACCCTTTCTCTTCTCCTCCTATGCCCTTTCCCTAGTCCCCTAATAGGGGAGGACTTCCCCTATCAGGTCTCATCAGAGCTGGCTGCTTCATCTTCCTTTGTGGCCTGGCAAGGCTGCAAACCCCATGGGCAGGTGATCAATTCATGTCAGAGACAGCCCTTGTTCCCATTACTAGGAAATCCACTTGGACACTGAGCAGCCTATGGGCTTCCTCTGAACAGGGGTCTAGGTCCTCTCCATGTAAGGTCCTTAGTTGGAGTATTGGTCTCTTCGGCCCCCCTGGGCCCAGATTTTTTGGCTCATTTGTTCTCCTTGTGGAGTTTCTGTTCCTTCCAGGTCTTTCTATCTCCCTCTTCTTCCATAAGGTTTCTGGTACTCTGTCCAAAGTTTAGCTTTGAGTCTCAGTACCTCCTTTGATACCCTGCTGGGTATAGTTTTTCAGAGGTTCTCTATGGAAGGCTCCTGTCCTGTTACTTGTCTTCGTCTACTTCCAATGTCTATCCTGTTTGCCAGTCTAAATGAGAATTAAGCATCTTCCTAGGGTCCTCCTTGTTGTTTAACTTCTTTAAATTTTAGTATGTTTTTCCTATATTATAGGGATAATATCCACTTATAAGTGAGTATATACCATATGTGTCTGTCTACTTCTGGACTACCTCACTCAGGATGATCTTTTCTAGCTACCACCATTTGCCTGCAAATTCTATGATTTCCTTGTTTTTAATTTCTGAGGAGTATTCCATTGTGTAAATATACTACAATTCTTCTTTTGAGGGACATCTAGGTTGTTTCCAGATTTTGGCTATTACAAATAAAGCTGGTATGAACATAGTTGAGCAAATGTCCTTTTTGAATGGTGGGGCATCTTTTGGATATATGCCTAGAAGAGATATAGCTGGATCTTGAGGTAGCACTGGTCCTAATTTTCTGACAAAGTGCTAGATTGATTTCCAAGTGCTTTTTTTTTGTTTGTTGGTTTTTTGTTGTTGTTGTTTGTTTTGTATTGTTTTTTTTTATATTGGAGAATTTTGAGAAGACTCAATTTCAATTTGGTTCTTGACTCTTAATTTAGTCAAGAAAATAGTGAAGACAGCGTATGCAGTAATAACATGCTCACCCTCTCCTCCACTGTTGGAAACATAGACCTTGACAAGTTACGTAACGTCTTTCTATCTCAGTGTCTTCATTTTTAGAAACTACCTCTATAAAGTAAAAACCACATGACCTAGATAATGAGGATGAAATGTGTGTGGTGTCATATAGTGACAGCTGCATATGGGAAGCAGAAAACCGTCTTCGGCCACCACTTATCATCCTCCTCCTGCTCTTTATGTCCAATAACTAAGCATAAATTTCAAAATAATGAACAGTAAGCCTAGATGATAAGTTAAGGTTTTAAGGGAAGTTGTAATATCCATAAATTAACATAATGGTGTTTCCTAGTAATATTTCTCAGGGAAGATTAAATTAATACCCTGAATTAAAAAGATAGCATGCATGTCTAATGGCCCTGCCATGCTTCTACAGGGGCTGTGTAGGATGAAACTCCCTGTCTATAATAACAGTTATAATGTTACTTTGCTTATGGATAAGTTTGTTCATTTAGTTTTGCCATACCTCCTATCCAGTTTGTAAAATTTTTCATATACGATTTCAGTAAGTGATAATATTTCTAGCACTATAAAAATAGGAAAGTGTAAATAAGAAGTATATGTTTATGATTGGTGCTTAGAGCCATTCATTGGGAAAATGCTGACTGAAATAGTTTTCAAAGCATACCTAAGTATGTAATATACAATTAATTTCTGTTCCTTCTTGTAAATGACAGTCCTGATTGATTAGAGGTAAACAAAGTATTTGCTCAATTCTGCAACGTTGCAAAGGTGTTTCCCTCTGTGTACAGAAACACATTTACAATGGGACTTTGAAAGCATCACCTTTGACTGCTCCTGGTATAAGTTTGTGGAAGCTCAACACAGACACATACCGAGCGGATGGTGCAGACAGGTGTGAAAGCATTGGTCCCACAGGTGAACAGCCGGTCCCTGCCCACTAAGAGCACACGGATGTAGTTCTGACATTCCTCCTGAAAATGAAAAGTATAAGAAACATATTGACAAGTCCTGAAGGTAAGAGGGATGATGAGCAAGGATATTCTGGGCCTGCCAGTCAAAGAGCAAACAGTCCTTCCCAGTGTTGACTGGGCAGCAGAGAAGCTGTTGACCGTGTGTCTATACCCAGACACTTTTCCATGGATATTTAATAAGGTAGGTGTGGTATAACTGTGTCTTCCAAACATGAATTCATTTTGAATTGTACTACAAACTTTAAGTTTTCTTGAAACTTTCTATATAGGAAAATAAATAAAATTAACTCATTTGATGCTGCTCATGAAGCATTGGCTGCCTTAGCTCATGAGGCCTCAACACTATGCAAAGGGGGGAGAAATAGTCCCTCCCTCCAGGGAATAGCATACCATTTGATTACCTGATACCAAATAGTCAGTCGTGAAAATACACATACAGATAATATTCCATGGACTGAGCAGGCTGTATTTTCGTATTTAGGATTATACTCACACATGCACACAGACACACAGATATGTAACACCAATTAATGAAAAACTGGCTATGAATTTGAACAAAAACAAAGAAAGGTATATGTGAATGCTTGGAGGGAGCAATAGGAAGTTATAACACTTCCTACTAGGAAGGTTGCATATGGGAAATTGATTGTTATGGGCTCAAACTAATCTAAGTGTAATATATGTATGTATAGAAGTGTTATAATGAAACCCGTTTTTGTATAATTAATACATATTAAAACTACATTAAAGACATAGCAAGTGTCTATAAACAAATTTAACTCCCTTACAAGTAGCACTATAATTAGTAAGAAAGTGTTGCTCAGAATATCTGAGAAAGAATCCTGGGCTGAGAAGTGATCTACAGGTCACAGTAAAGAGCACATATCCCTACAACAGTGATGGACATGTGAGAAAGTAGTTACTTAACAGAATTAGAGGAGCTGGGAAAGACGACAGAACATTGCTTCAGTTGGAGAACATAAGATAGTGCTGTCAATAAATAGGGCCATGTGACAGGAAGCTGCCCTTCATTCAGCACACACTGATTTGAAGCTCTTTGTACTAGAAGTTACAGTTTGAACAGGAAAACAAGGACCATAACATTTACTGCATAGCTGTCCGCTATAACGAAGAAACATGGTCTCCACTGCTCTAAAAGGGAAGGGAAGACAAGGCTGTAGGAAAGTTCCTGAAGAGAAAGTTTAAGGGAAGAATATGGTTTGTTGGAGCTACCAGGTAGAGGTGTGTGGAAGACCCATGTCGGACCTCACTGAACAAGGGTCACACAGGCAAGGAAGATGGTCTGTGTGGGCATGGCATCTAGGTTAGAAATTCCACAGGAGACGTAATATATACTGTGGTGACAGAAAGAGGCCATCAAGGCCGGGGTAGTGAGTGTGCATTACACCCTGAGCATGAGTTGGGCTGATGTTGTCAAAGCACTACTCAGGAATCCATGTGGAAGAAAGACAGAGTGATTAGAAAAGTGAGTTGTGTAGGGATGCTCCTCTTTCCCCTCTGTGCCTGGCAAGTTGAGCTGTAAAAGCCCAGAGGCAGAATGTGGCACATCAGCAGGATCTCCCTATGGGACTAGCATGGAGTGCCAGGATGCCAGGATAATTTGAATCAAATAAAAACCCTGACAAAATAAATTCAATAATAGTGCAGCAATCCTGCTCACTGGTCACATGAACGTCACTTTCAGTAGTAGTGGGAGTTTGCATTATCAGATCTACTGCAAAGCTTAGCTCATGCAATGCAAATTGAACACTCACATGAATTTGCTCTGTAAGAGAAGTGAGATATCAAATATACTATTCTATTTGCTCCATTGCTAACAAAAACAACACATCATAACTGGCTGAGAACACTGAGAGGAAAAAAAGAAGCAATAGAAAGAAAGAAGGGGAGTTAGTCTGATGAGGAAAGGATAGGAGCTCCACAAGGACCAAATATATCTGGGCACAGGGTCTTTTCTGAGACTGACATGCAACCAAGGACCATGTATGAATGTAACCTAGAACCTCTGCTCAGATGTAGCCTGTGGTAGCTCAGTAACCAATTGGTTTCCCATAGTGAGGGGAATAAGGACTATTTCTAACAGGAATTCAATGACTGGCTCTTTGGCCTCCCCACTCCCCAAGGGAGGAGCAGTCCTGTTAGGCCACAGAGGAGAGCTTTGCAGCCAGTCCTGAAGATACCTGATAAAACAGGATCAGATGAATGGGGAGGAGGTCCCCCCATCAGTGGATTTGGCAAGGGACACAGTGGAGATGTGGGAGGGAGGGAGGGACTGGGAGGGAATGAGGGATCGGGACACGGCTGGGAAACAGAGTTAATAAAATGTAACTGATAAGAAAAAAATAAAATTCAAAAAAAATAGAAAAAAAAGAAAGTCTCACGTTAACAGAAAATTTGGAAAATAAGTATGAATAATTGTAAATACTTGGAAACTGAGAAAGGTAGAACAGTTGGAGCAGAATTTGCTTTGCTCCCAAATGCTTTCCTGACTGGGGAGAGGACAGAAGCATTCCAGCGAGCAAAGAACATCATTAAAGGCATCAAAGAACCACACAGATGCCTATCCCAGGGGTAAGGACACCAGGGCATAGAAACGGAGTTTACAACAGGATCAAAGGGAGGACAAACACAGGAAACCAAGGCCTGTGTGTATGAGGCACCTCCACCTAGACCTTCTGAAATGCAGGGCTGGGTGTGCTTGATGGGATTAGTGGACATACTGTTGTGATAATGACCCTGTAATAAAGACGGGAATGGAAAATTACAAACAGTATGTAGGGTGGAGAGCTCATCCATTTCAATTTGCTGCTCCTTTAACTTCCAAAGAAGGTGAGATGTAAAGGAAATGTTCTTCTCAAAGCATGAGGGCACCCCAAGGAGTGAGTCTCACTAGAGAAACCACACTGCTGTAAACAGCACAGGCCAAGGGGGAAATTGTTCTGACTGAAAAGGCCTGACCCACTGCTGATTTCTGCAGACTTGGCAAGGGGAAAGCATGTACTCCAGTCAATTATGAAAGCAAAGGGAACAACAGAGATAACAAACAGGGTGCTTATGCAAATCCCCTAATAGAAACACAGTGTCAGTGAGACAGACCTCCTGAAGGCATGTCACAAAGCTGATGGAGAAGCAGCCTGTCAGCAGGGGTTTGGGATATAGATACATGTAGAGAGAGGCACAGAAAGTTCCAGTGGCTCTTCAATCAAAGAAACAAGAAGGGAGGGAACACGGGGACCATTTCAAGTGCAGCAAAGGCAATGGAGCATGTTCGGATTATTGGGACTTTGTAAGAATTCACTAGGCCTTGACCAGTTTCCTCAACTGAGTGTTGGGAAGGAAGGGAGTCATAGAAAGGACCAAGGTGGTCAGAGAAGGAGGCCAGTGCTTCATCTATTTTTCTGATGGATGGAAAACAGAAACAGCCCACAGAAACCTCAGAGAGCTTGTGATGAACGGTACCTATTACGGGTAATAGAATGTATTCTAGAAGGCCTCAACTGTATGGACTCCCATCTTCAGGGCGTAAAGGAGGTCAGTGAAGAAGGCTGTGTAGTCACCAGTTGGACCAAATCCAGCTGAGTTCATACTCACAGGTCCTTCAGGCATGACACCAGAGGTGGGCCCCATCTGTGCATCTTCATCACTTCACAACCCGAGTTTACCCATGGCTTACTCAGCTTACTACCTTCCTGCGTGACCCCCCTCTTAATGATTCTCCTCCCTTTAATTCACAATTTGCCACCTCTTACTCAAAAAGAACTGCATGTGAAAACGATCTTAAAACACCTTTGCTAATTTTTTAAAGAAAGGCTGAGACAACTTCAAGCAAAATAGAAAAAACATAGTAGAGATATTTAGCTTTGAGGCACAAGATATGTTTCAGGATCAGAGTTGAATTTAAGAATAGACAAAATGGCACAGAGTGCCAAGGTAGTAACAGTCAATCCTGTGACATAGATTCTTGATGCTAATGTCAGCAGCAAACTCAGTTTTTTATAGGTTACCTGGACTTGCTCAGAACAGTGCTTGGGATCACCACTTTGAAATATGGGCAGATGATTGGGTAGAAGATGCTTCAGGAGTTTCTTAACTGTTTTTCTTACAAATAAGCATATTGAAATGCCTATGGTTTCCACATTTTACCTGATTTCCCTCTTTATATTCCATTTCTGCACTGTGAAGACAGGTGACGATGACTTATTGAATTCTGATTCTCCCAATAGTCATAGGGCACATCTCTGAGGTCCCCCGAAGCCAATCGCCACTTGGCCTCTGTGGTTGGTAGTGAGAGTCATCTACATATGTTTGGCTAATTCTACTTTGACACTAAAATGTCCCATATGTGTTTGTGGTCCACGCGTGGGCCAACTTGTCCTTCACTTCAAGAAGATTCTATTTTGTTTGGTAGTTGAGAAACATGGTCAAGTTGCAAAAAAAGACTTCCTGATGGGGATGAACAGCTTCCACTTGGGGTCATGGATGCAATCTCCAGCCTCCAAGAAAGAAAGTACATTTTAGGGGCCTTTTCTTTTGAATGATCTGGTTGCATTGTAACATATCATCATGTCCTCCTCCCCTATCAAATATGTTCTGTTTATCAAAGAATGTGTAGCTATGTAGCAATATGACTGCCAAGCAGCACAGACCCTCTAGTGTCTCCTTAGAAGAACATGGACCACTTGACAATTCCAAGGAGGTGAGAACAAGACTGGAAGGCTGACAGCTTTATGTTACCTGCAGTGCTCCCAGTGAAAACAATGCATCTTCCTTTTAGTGACGTATTACCTTTATGCACATCTAAGGTGATGAAGAGAAACAATACAGATGTGTGTATCTAAACTTGACTTTATGTATGGCTGTGCATATACATATGTTTATGATGCAATTCAGAATTGTCTCTAGCTATCCATGGGTCTATGGCTCTTCAAAGGTAACAAAATATAAGGATGTTCAAGCCTCTCACAAAAAGATGTAGAATT